AGCCCTCTGGCCCACTCCCTCGCTCTGCTGCACCCCCACTTGCTAAGCTCTCCATGCTCCTCCCTTTTTGGCCGCATGTTGGCCATGCTGGTCTTGAACTTCTGACCTCATGATCCACCTGCCTCTGGCCTCCCAAAGTGCTGGGATTACAGGCATGAGCCACCGCGCCCGGCCCTAATTTTTGTATTTTTAGTAGAGATGGGGTTTCACTGTGTTGGCCAGTCTGGTCTCAAACTCCTGACCTCAGGGGATCTGCCCACCTCAGCCTCCCAGAGTGCTGGCATTACAGGCGTGAGCCCCCGAGCCTGGCCAGAGTATCATTCTTTCTACCTCCTAATGGAGTAAAGAATCTGGGCTTTGAGCATCAGTGGCTGCTGACATCACACAAAGAGCACCCAAGCATTGTGTATCTTGACGGCAGACACACAGAACATCACTATGATGTAGTTTTCTGTTAAAAAGAACCTGAATCAGTTCAGGCTTCTACATCTAACTACCAATTTATGGGAAATACAAGAGACAAAGTAAAATGGCCATTAACACTTCTGGGTGCAATCAGCCAAATCCGAACCTTGGGAAAATCTACAGGGCAAACAACCCAGTTTCTCAAAGAGGAGATTGCAGGAGGCAAAGAGAAAGGGAAGAAGAAACCAGAGAATTACTTCATAATCTCAGCAGGCCAGGCCCAGTGGTACAGCCGGTAATCCCAACACTGTGGGGGCTGAGGCAGGAGGATCACTTGAGCCCAGGAGTTCAAGACCAGCCTGAGCAACAGAGTGAGACCCCATCTCCACAAAAATAACAACAACTACTGGCCGGCATGGTGGCAGGTGCCTGAAGTCCCCGTGTAGTCCCAGCCACTTGGGAGGCTGAGGGGAGGATCGCTTTCATTCCAGGCTGCCGTGAGCTGTGATTGTACCACCGCACTCCAGCCTGGGCAACAGATTGAGGCCCCATATTAAACAAAAAGAATCTGAGCAACAAGGAATTGGAAAATAAAATTTAAAAGCAACGCCAAAAATATATCGTTATTGATTCATTAATTGTAACAAATTTTTCATATTAATGTTAATAATATGGGAAACTGGGTAAGTGGTATATGGGAACCATGCAAATGATCTCTGCAATTTTTCTATAGATCTAAAAATATCCTGAAAAGTGTAGTTTAAAAAAAAACAAAACTATTTACAATAGCAATTTATAACATCGTTCTATGGTTTGATTGTGTTCTCCAAAGTTTATGTGTTAGAAACTTAATCCCCAATGCCACAGTGTTGAGAGGTATTAGGTCATGAGGGCTCCGGTCTCATCGTGGATTAATGCCATTATCTCAGGAGTGGGTTATTTACTCCTCCAAGAGATCTTCATTAAGCACTTATTACGTACCAGGCACCGTATTTGGTGCTAATGAACGGAGAGGAACAGGGTAGACTCCTTCTGGCATGGAACTTAACACTAATGGGGGAGCCAGATAATAAGGAAGTAAGCCAGCCGAGATGTAACTTCAGTTTTGTGGTGTCAGGAAAGAAACAAATTTGGCAATGCTGGAATAAGGGAGTTGCCTACTGAAGGGGGGTGGCCAAGGAGGGGCTCTCTGCTGAAGGGGGGTGGCCAAGGAGGGGCTCTCTGCTGAAGAAGGGTGGCCAAGAGGGGCTCTCTGAGGAGGCGATACTGAAGTGGGGACCTGAGGCTTGGGGAAGGAGCCTGCCAAGTGAGGAGCCGCCACATCCGGCTAATTGTTGCATTCTTTTAGTAGAGACGGGGTTTTGCCATGTTGGCCAGGCCAGTCCTAAACTCCTGACCTCAAGTGATCCACCCTCCTCGGCCTCCCAAAGTGCTGGGATTATAGGTGTGAGCTGCTGCGCCCCCCTCTTCTGGAGGCGCTGAGGAAGAAACTGTTCCCACCCCTCTTCTAGCTTCGGGGGTTTGGTGACAATCCTTGATGCTCCTTGGCTTGTAGAGTCTGACTCCAGCCTCTGCCTCCTTCCCACGGCCTTCTTCCCTGTATCTCTGCGTGTTCAATCTCCCTCTCTCCTTTCTAAGGACAACAGTCATTAGGTAAGGGCCCCCCAACCCTAAATCCAGGACCAGCTCATCTTGAGATACCTAATTACATTTACCAGGATAAGGTCACATTTCCAGGTCCCACGGCCTAGGACTTGGACATATGCTGGGGTTGGGGGGACACTTCAACCCACTATATCTCCCTGGGTTCTCCTGAGATGACACAAATAGTCTTTGATTTTTTTCTTGCTTTTTGTATAACATGATGTTCTAGGTTCATCTTGTACATTTCGTGCCCTTGACCTAGAATTTTTCTCCAGGAATCTCTGGTTTCTTTTAGTGAAAAACTGTATTTAGAGATCACAATAAAGGTGCTAAGAATGTATTACTTTTATAATCAATAAAAACAATTTTCACTAAATAAAAAATAATTGGCTACTTGTATCATCAGTCATCAAAATGGTCTTCAACTTATTTCTAGAACTTCTGAGAGTCTGCTCTAGAAACTAATGCAAAATATTTAAGATGCTATATTCAGAAAGACATTCTTTGTAAGGATTATCGCGGTTTTTGTTTTTGTTTTTGTTTTTTGACAGGGTCTCACTCTGTCACCCAGGCTGGAGTGCAGGGGTGTGACCATGGCTCACTGCAGCTTTGACCTCCCAGGCTCAAGCAATCCTCCCACCTCAGCTTCCCAAGTAGCTGAGACCACAGGCATGTGCCACCACACTCAGCTAATTTTTACATTTTTTGTAAAGACCAGGTCTCACTATGTTGCCCAGGCTGGTCTTGGACTCTTGGCCTCAAGCGATCCTTCCGCCTTGGCCTCCCAAAATGCTAGGATTACAGGCGTGAGCCACTATACGCTGCCAGGATTATCTATAAAAGCACAATTTTGGCTAGGCACAGTGGGTGGCTCACACCTGTAATTCCAGCACTTTGGAAGGCCGAGGCAGGTGGATCACAAGGTCAGGAGATGGAGACCATCCTGGCTAACATGATGAAACCCCATCTCTACTAAAAATACAAAAAATTAGC